CCCTCAGAGGGAGAGTCAACAGCCTGCAGGTCTGGAGGTGGCTGATGAGGAAGAGGAGGAACAGCCGGGTCCAGTGCCTGACAAGCCATTCCCACAAAGGAGGCCACACCCACAGAGTAGGTTCGAAAAATTTTTGAAACCCACCACTGGTGGGACTTCACTTGCAGCGGTGGCTTTTCCGTCCCAAGGACCGGCCCATAGATTTCCACTGTTCTCCTCTCCTCTGCTTTCTGTGCATTCATGTGTCAGGCACTGGACCCGGCTGTTCCTCCTCTTCCTCATCAGCCACCTCCAGACCTGCAGGCTGTTGACTCTCCATCTGAGGGCTGATGGACAGCCCAGGCTCCGCCTCTGTCTCTGCCAGCCCCATTCCCTCTTCCCCCTCGGAGCTCTCCGGTTGCCCCGATGCTGACCCTGATTCTCACGCTTCCTCCTCCAATTTGGCTGCTGGAGGGGAGCCGGCGGCCGACAGACCACAATACTCCTCCTCTTTTTCTTTAGTCCTAAGTCTGACCCTGGTGGACCTTCCCGGGATGACCAAGGTCCCAGTTGGAGACCAGCCAGTAGACATTGAATTCCAGATCCGTGAAATGTTGATGCAGTTTGTCACCAAAGACAACTGCCTGGTCCTCGCGGTCTCTCCAGCCAACAGCGACCTGGCCAACTCCGATGCCCTTAAGATCGCCAAAGAAGTTGACCCTCAAGGTAAGGTCCAGCCTTGGGTTTCTGACCTTGGGCCTGTCGGTTTCTGTAAACCAATTCCTTGGTGCCTCCTGAATTATGAGTGATTTGCAAAGGGATTCAGGGACAGGAAGACAAGAGGTTGGCTTCCAGGTGATTCATTTATCAGATGTATCCATCTCAGATAAAGCCGTAGCTTTGAACTGGAACTCAGCATGGGAAATGGCAATGGCCATAGCACTTGGGTTTATGTACCGCTTCACGTTTTATGGCACTCTCTAAGTGACTGAGTCAACCTTGAGCTGATCAGGATCGAACTGCCGGCAGTGGGAAGAATTATCCTGCCATACTGCATTCTAACCACTGCGCCACCACATTCTGGTATATGAAGATACATAAGAAGTGAGGCCACATGTGTAGAGTCCCCCCTGATGTGTGTGGCAGCTCTGCGGAGACCCCAATGTTTAAGAAGAAAGCCAAGGTCAGGATTAACCCAATCTCCAACTAGCACTGATGATGTTACCTAGTTGGGTGACGAAACGCCTGCAAGAAAACAACCAAGCTCAGAGAGCAAGAAAGTGCCAGCTTAAAAGTTGGATGGCAACACTTCTACATGACAATCCGATTGACAAAAACCCAATTATAAACACCAGGAGAACATCACACTTCTGTGGTTTCCAACAGTCAATCAAAGTATCCATTAACAAAATATATTTCATATTAACCGGCGATTCCAATGAAGGAGAATATTGGTACCTCAGGTTTGAAATTTGGGGTCCTTGGTGCTTTCTGAGCTTGGTGGTTTTCTTGCAGACATTTCATGACCCAACTAGGTAACATCATCAGTGCTAGAAAGGAGCAGGAGGAGGACTGTGAGGTCTTTGGTGCTCTCTGAGCTTGGTGGTTTTCTTGCAGACTTTTCATGGCCCAACTAGGGAATATCATCAGTGCTAGAAGGGAGTGGGGTTTGTGGAGTAAAGAGGAGGAGGAAGGAGAAAGGGAAGACTGTGGGGTCCTTGATGCTCTCTGAACTTGGTGGTTTTCTTGCAAACATTTCATGACCCAACTAAGTAACGTCATCAGTGCTAGAGGGAGTGAGATTGGAAGGGGAGAAGGAGAAGGAGAACTGTGGGGTCCTTGGTGCTCTCTGAGCTTGGTGGTTTTCTTGCAGATGTTTCATGACCCATCTAGGGAACATCATCAGTGCTAGTTGGGAGGTTGTGCAAATCCCGATTCCTGACCTTTGCTTCCTTCTTACTGGGAAAGTCTAGGCTTTATGGTAGAATGACCCCGCCCAATGCACCGCCCGTAACTCTCTTCTTAGAGGTTCAAAGGTTGTCTGACTTCTTGTGACCTAACAGGCCAACGTACCATTGGCGTCATCACCAAGTTGGACCTCATGGATGAAGGAACCGATGCGCGAGATGTTCTGGAGAACAAGCTGCTTCCACTAAGAAGAGGTAAAGGTCCTTCTCTTGTGGTCTTCACGAGCCTTGCTTTCTTTTCTCCTCCCTTCCCACCAAACTTTTTCATTTATTTAATTTTTTTACAAATATATCAAATCAATTCGCGGACAGTGTAGAGTATCGTACATTCTAATACAAGTAAAGCAGCTAAAGCTAATCACAATTATTACATTCAATCCACTTAACGTTTTTCTAATAATAATACAGATTTATATTAGGTTGAAATCTGTCATTATTCAATTATTCCATGTTTTCTCTGGTTGTTGCTTTTACTTTATTATACTATATAAAAATGTAGACACTAATATTCCCCCTTCTCTTATTTCTTTTTTTTAATTTAATTTTTTATTAANGCTTTGGAGAATAGCTTGACTCCCTATTCTTTGGGGCAGCCCCTGAGATATTGGAAGACTGCTATCATGTTACCCCTAGTCCTTCATTAGACTAGAATACAATAACAGAGTTGAAAGGGATCTTGGAGGTCATCTAGTCCAACCCCCTGCTTAGGCAGGAAACCCTATACTCTTCCAGACAAATGGTTGTCCAATCTCTTCTTAAAATCTTCCAGTGTTGGAGCATTTACTGTTTCTGGAGGGAAGCTGTTCCACTGGTTAATTGTTCTAACTCTCGGGAAGTTTCTCCTTAGTTCTAAATTGCTTCTCTCCTTGATTAGTTTCCACCAATTGCTTCTTGTCCTGCCTTCAGGTGCTTTGGAGAACAGGTTGACCTCTCTCTTCTTTGTGGCAGCCCCTGAGATATTGGAAGGCTTCTATCATGTCCCTGAATATCATGAAGATAATTCCACAGAGCAGAAGATAGTGGCCTCTTTCCCAAGTTGAAAACCAACCGAAATACATGGTGGCCAAGAGAACATCAAGAGATCTTGATTTGAGATCTCCCCATCCATAAGCTGTGACCTCTTCTTTGCACCCAAGGAGTTGTCCCTTTCTTCTGTTGTCTTCTCCTTGGCCCAACTCCCAATTGTCTTCTAACCATCTCCTTCCTGCTCTAGAATATGGCGAATTCCTCCACTGCAAAGGGAAGAAGTTCACGGATTTTGAGGAGATACGTATGGAAATTGAAGCTGAGACCGACAGAGTCACCGGCTCCAACAAGGGAATCTCCTCCGTCCCGATCAACTTACGAGTTTATTCTCCAAACGGTAAGCCATGGAATGTATCGAGAATGAGGAGTAGAACTCCACAATCCCATTTGGGGGGTTAGGGTTAGGGTGAGAAGTGTTGTGGCCCGGCAGCGGCGAGCAGAGCTGGCAGCAGAGTCGGACAGTGAGGAAGTTGAGGAGGAACACGGGCCAGTCCTGGCAGCTGGGGAAGGCTCGGAGGAGGACTTGGCGTTGGAGGCAGAGAGGGGGCCGAGGCCATCTGGCAGTTCTCAGCTGCCTTCGGAGCTAGACAGCAGTGAGGCAGAGGAACAGCTGGAGCCTGTTCCCAGTGTGTGCATGCGCAGAGCTGCCAGAAGAAAAGAACAGCGGAGAAATCAGGGTCCACTTGGGAGTAAGGCCACAGGTGGATGGCCCCTCCCATAGTGAATAAAAGAGGAGCGAAAGGGGAGTGGGCTTTTGCAGGAAACAATTCATTCGTTCGGTCGTTAGCTTTGTTTCAGGAGTGTG